TACCAAAGATGTCAGCAAACCTGTCGAGAGTGCTCCAGAAACGTTTTCGATGGCGACCGGACTGTTCTGCAATAAACTTGATTTGGTACGCGTCTGTTTGCTATGCGTATTTTCCGACAACTTGGAGAAGCAGAGATTCCGAGATCTTTACATTGTGGCCGCATCTTGCATTACTCGAAGTATGGTTGACGCAGCCCTGAACGATTTATAGCAGTTTCATCATCGGCCATCATTTTCTCTTGCGTTAATGACTAAGTTTCCAACCTCATTCACGACCCATTTCAGAATTTATTATATGAGTTTCGAGTGAAACTGAATCTCGCTTATTAACAGAAAATAAACAGTAATTTCTCTGATCATCTTATGGTAGAAAAGGCGGTAGGAAGACGAACTACAAGTAAATAAATTCCGAAGTCGAAGCCCGACCCGTTCAAATCCGTTTTGCCCCTCGTTGGGGCGTCAGACTCAGAATAAAGAGATTGCGGGTTCGAACTGATGGAAGGTTACTAGCCCTATGTAGACGAAACAACACAGTACACCTCGTTTCTCACGCTGCCGTAGCCCACTTTGCCTTTAAAATAAGGCTCTGACTGATGTAAGTGGAGATCAGAGCCTCACGGTGATTTTCTTGAAAAGAACTGCGTCAGAAATGGCTTAATCACGAAAATGTAGGTATTCGAAGAACGTCGATATTGTAGTGGTTACAAGGTTTCCTTTTTCCCTGCCTTGCAGTCAGGTAACTTCTCTCTGAGGTAGGTGAATGAATCACTCGGTAAATCGTACGAAACTAGCAGAACTACAACTGTATTTGTTTTGAACCTTCAGATATTGTTACCGTGTAGCCAGTAAAACTGGAAGATCGGGTCAAAAAGGAAACCAACGCAGTTTTGTGCTCCATGACAGAGCGTTATCGTACATCATCATATTTTAAATGAGCTCGACATTTCAATGGTTCAGGAATAAGTCTCGTTTGTGCTAATATAATATGACGCAACACTTTTAGAACATGATGGTTTTTCCGGAGTTTCAAGAAGCGGATCAAGTGGACGATGCCGAAGTGTTTGCATCTCGTGTAAAAATGTTTCTGGCGGAGAAAGGTATTACAGAACTTCATAAACATGTTAAAAAAAATCTGCTCAGATAGGCAAAAACTAATGCAGCATCATATTTCACACACAGCGATCATTTATTCGCTGTAATTCTCCCAGCTCGCCTCTCTGAAATGAACAGGAACGTTTACTTTCGCTTTAATCTTGATAAAAACAACTACCGCATCATTTAGGAGTCTCATCGTTATGCGATTCTGCGTTAGCCTCTACGACAATTTTTCGATATCACAGACGATTTGTGGTTGATCAGACGTCAAAGCGAAACGTAGATCGTTAAATGGCCCTTTATTGATTGTATTTGACATTTTACAATTCCATTCTCAAAGCATACTGCTATAAAAATTCGCATAGGACATTCAAGTTTGCCATGTGGTCATTGCTACCATTGAATGGTGGCCCCAGAGAAATGTTTACTCGATTGAGAACGAACCTAAATTTCTCCTTTGCCTTCATACGCTTTATATGCATATGTCGAATGTTCTCAGGTTTCATCGCTACCACCTCAGATATACGACTGTGCTGATGTGGAGAGTAATAATGTTTTGCACAGCTAAGTAAGTCTGCTAAAATATAGAACAATCCGCAGGTACCCTCTGACAGTCAACGCACGTCATAAACAGGCCTCAGTTGATATTAAGACTATAATGTCATTATGTCAAGAAATCGGCTGTTAGCACGGTTAAACATTTTTGTAATCGATGCTGGCGTTCGAGTAAACTATAGGGTTCATGTCTCTCAGGTCTAACTGTTACCCAACGGCAGATTTCACGTCTACATTCTGTTGTTTATATTCTCTACTTGTAACAGCAGCAACTGCTAAAACAAGATAGCACCAGAAACCGCCTACTCGGTTTATCATTTTTCGTATCACTATCATTTCTCATGTATTCATCAGGGGTTAGTCCGCATCATTTCCGAGGCAGCTCTATTGCTTGCAATCATGCTTCTGGAGATTAATCGAAAGGGTGGCTTTTGACCGCTCATGTAGATCTGTGATGTGGCGATGTTTCAACTAGGCTAAATCGCTTCTAAAGGCATGAAGAGCTTTGTGATTCTGAATGGTTCATGCTTCGAGCAGCGAAATACAGCAGATGGTTAAGAGCTTTGACGCTTTGTTCAATACAGTCAAATGCATCGTTTTTAATCTGTTTTCCATCTCTTGTATTTGTTGCCTCGAACCGTGAATCTTTTAAGCAACAACAGATATTCTCCACAGCTGTAGCAGATCTGAAGTTTTATTTGCTGGTGAATCAATATTCGTGTTTCTGGTTTTCCTACATAAATAAGTTGCAATTGATGCTGTATTTTGGATCAGTACTTATTGTTCACAATATCAGGCGCCTTTATCGATACGTTTCTTTAGTTGACGTGGCAGAAATGGACCAGCAGCGCAGATTTCCGCAAGAAGTAATTTACGCGTTTAAGAAATTGGGCCTTTACGGTTTGAACGTGCCAAAAAATCAAGGTGAAAGCAAATTAACATTTAACTACCACCTAAATTCTGTATGACTTTAGATGTTTGCTCGTCTAATGGTCTGTGCCGCATCTCGTTTTTATTAATACCTATTAATGCGGCTCCCTGATTTATAAGTAAAGGAAAGAAGTTGAGCGCGACTGGAATTTGGTCAAGTTTTGTATGTCTGCTCCATGTTTATCAGGGATCGCACAATCCAGCCAGATTTTAATACGAGTATTTAACTAGCCTGGAGTGTTTTTCGAAAGCTGTTCACCATTTCGGGTGAGAACAGAGTTCCTCTTTCCGCTGAATTCACTTCACTTTCCTGTGTGAAGTCAAATCTGGGGCATCCCATTGAACTTTTCTAGTCAATAAGTAGGAACAACGGTTGAACTGCTTACAGTAGCATTAGTATGGACACATGATTCGTAAAGGGGAAGCGAGATTTGGGAAAGGAGTTAGGTCCTGTTATTGAGAATGCTCATAAATGGTTTGCTGTGGTCCATCAGATTCACTTTTGAGAGGCGAGACATGAATGATATTAACCATGAAGCTAGCTGTAGCCTGAATTCCTAAAGGAATTGTTCATTTTACGATGCAGTGATCGACGCTTTCTACAGGGAACCACTGTCCATGCAAATGAACAAAGCCTACGACCTGAATGAACAGTAACAGCAGTGACTATCATCGATCGCGATTCAGGTTTGATTAGTAAACAATAATGTTCGCTGTTGCCTATCCCAAGCCCTGATGAGAAAGGAGGAGGGTTGGAGAACGTGGCAAGTCTCCATAAAATCCAGCCACCTGCCACTCATGGTATTGACGACATCGAAAATTTTACCGGCTCTATCGTCGCCCCGGTTACCAAGGGCATCGCAGGCTGTTGGGGGACTGAGCAGACTGCGAAAAGTCGGCGATCAGATCCTACTCACTGCCCGCTGCCAGCCTGGGGCATGGCAGCACATCGACGGCTGAAGAAGACCGACGCAACGACGACGAAGATACCAGTCAGCAACGAAGTCGCTACCCGTACGGAAAGGAGGAAGCAGACGACGCGATGCTATTATAGCACGTCGGAAAAGGCTCCAAGAGAACGACACCACCAGCGGTAGCTTAAAGTCGGAAATTGGAACATATCCTCACTCAGAGGAAAAGAACATGAATTAGTTCATGAGGCCACGAAGTACCAACAAGACCA